TGTTTTTATTACTATGCTAGTTCTTCCCTTTATTTTGTTTTTTCTTTTCTAATTTTCTGAAGCAAATATTTTATTTTCTTAATTATTTTGTTTTTGCATTAATGAAAGTGTTTTAAAACCATGAATTTTCCTCTCAGTATAGTTTTGGCCATGTCCCATAGGTTTCCATGCATAGTCTGTAAATTGTGATTTAGCATCTTGAAATTGCTACTTTTATTTTGTTTTTGTTGAAGACAAAGATTGTAAAATAATTATATGGTAGCACAATTTCTATTTTTGTTATTTATTTCTAGTTTTCTGCATTTTTGATCAAAGAATATGGTCTTACAATATCTACTCTTTGGATTTTATTGGTATTTTCTTTGTAATCAATATTTGTAAATGTTTGCAACATTTTATGTCACTTTATGCTATTCCACTAAATGGATTTATCATTTATTTAACAATTTTTAAATTTGGCCATTTTGCATGTTATTGAATTGTTTATTTCCATATATGTGCTTGAATAAAGATTACTAAAATAAATAAAGATTATAGCCTTAAGATAAATCCAATGAGAACAACTGCTGGCTCAGATAGACATTTTTAGATTTTTGATATCTAATGAAAATTTGCCTTCAAATTGGCCTCCAATTTATAATCCTATCATCGATGCATGAGAAAGCACTTTTTTCTATAGTGTTAGATAATGGCTGCTATTTCTTGAAGCTGCATTTCTATGATCTGCTTTTTTTGTCACTGTAGTTTTGAGTCTTCTAGAACTTTATAGAAATGGTATATTACAATAAATAGTCTTCTGTTTCTGGATTTTTTTCTTAATTCATCTAGATACACTGAAATTTGTTCATCCATCAGCAGTTGATGGGCACTTTGGTAGGTTGAAGTTATTGACTATTACGAATGAAGCTGTTGTGAACATTTGAGTACACGTCTTTGTGTAAATATATTCTTTCTTTTCTCTTGGGTAAGTCCATAGAAGAGAAATTACTGGGACATGGTAAATGTATATTTAACTTTAAAGAAATTGCTTCCCAAAGTGGCTGTACCGATGTGCATTCTGACAAGAAATGTATGATAGTTGCTTCATATCCCACCAACACTTATTTTTATCAGTCCTTAAAGATTTGGGATTATAATGAATGCTTTAGTGGTTATCTCACCATGGTTTTGATGCAGGACCTCAAAGAAGGTCACTAGGACCTCATTTTGGTTTCTCTATATCTCCCACTGTGTTTCTCTTGTCTCTCCTTCTGAGTTCATGAACTTTCATCTTTGTTCAGAACTTTTATCCTTTCAGCTGCAAGTTTATTGCAAAAGAGAAAAAAAAAATCACATGCCTCTACCCCAGAAATCTCTTGGCTTTTTACCAACACTTAAGCTGGTTGGGCAAGGGTCGGGGGAGGTTTTCTCATTGGAATTACTTTTGATTCATTCTGAGCTTGGGAGGCAGAATCTGTGATATCAGCACTTGACTGATCAGGATCTCCTTGAAGTCAAGAACCTTTTCCAATTAGGTTTGGTAATTTCACAGGGTATGACAATGCAGATTGTCTCATCCCTCTGTCAGTATTAAGAGAAGGCCTCGAGCTCTGTCCAG